ACAAGTTGTTTTATGGAATAAATGATGTTTCGGAAATTACATTATTTTTGGGTCACGACTTCATAACCGAGGACAAATGAGGGTCCTGAGGTTCCACAGCTTGAGAACCACGACTATAGAGTGCCCTTACAGCAAGGAAAAAAAAAAATTCTGACTTTAGAATCACTCACTTCCTCCTCCTGCGCAGGACTACATGTCCCAGGAGGCAATGCTCCTCACACATTCACAAGTCCTCAGGCACTTACTGACCTGTATGGATGGTGTACTGAGCTGTGTGTGTGCTGCACTGTGTATACTGATATGTATGTGTGCTGTACTGTATTTTCTGATCCGTAAACAAGTAATTCATTCTGTATGCAGGCCAAGTAATCAATTATGAAAGTAGTTGACTATATTCGTAATCCATTGTAACTGATTATGTTGATTGGCTGTTTCAGCCCTAGTGCAATACCTTAAGTGGTTGTAAAGGCTCAAGGTTTTTGTATCTTCAGGAATTCTATACATGACGGTAAAAAAACTTCTGTGTGCAGCAGTGCCCCCAGCCCCCCTTAGTACTTACCTCAGCCCCACCCTTAGTACTTACCCCCAGCCCCTCCCTTAGTACTTACCCCCAGCCCCTCCCTTAGTACTTACCCCAGCCCCGCCTTAGTACTTACCCCAGCCCCGCCTTAGTACTTACCCCAGCCCCGCCTTAGTACTTACCCCAGCCCCGCCTTAGTACTTACCCCAGCCCCGCCTTAGTACTTGCCTCAGCCCCCCCCTTAGTACTTGCCTCAGCCCCCCCCTTAGTACTTACCCCCAGCCCCTCCCTTAGTACTTACCCCCAGCCCCTCCCTTAGTACTTACCCCAGCCCCCCTTAGTACTTACCCCAGCCCCTCCCTTAGTACTTACCCCAGCCCCGCCTTAGTACTTACCCCAGCCCCCCCTTAATACTTGCCCCAGCCCCCTTAGTACTTGCCCCAGCCTCCCCTAATACTTGCCCCAGCCTCCCCTTAATACTTGCCCCAGCCCCCTTAGTACTTGCCCCAGCCCCCTTAGTACTTGCCCCAGCCCCCCCTTAATACTTGCCCCAGCCTCCCCTTAATACTTGCCCCAGCCTCCCCTTAATACTTGCCCCAGCCTCCCCTTAATACTTGCCCCAGCCTCCCCTTAATACCCCAGCCTCCCCTTAATACCCCAGCCCCCCTAATACCCCAGACCCCCTAATACCCCAGACCCCCTAATACCCCAGCCCCCCTAATACCTCAGCCCCATAGCGATCCAGTGATGTGCACTCTGGTCCTCATTGGCCGAGACAGCAGCGGTAGCAAATGAGGAAAGAGCAGGGGCGGAGCCAAACCACGCTCCATGTGTGACTGGACAAGTAAGTTGCTTGTTGTGGGGGGCACTAGGCAGGAGGGAAGGGAAAGGTAGGCAGGAGGGAAGGGCCTGGAGCATCGGTGGGGGACCCCAGAAGAGGGGGACTGGTACTGCTCTGTGCAAATCCAGTGCATAGAGTAGGTAGGTATGACATGTTTTTATTATCACTTCAACCACCAGAAAGTGTTACTCATCATACATGTCCTGAACATGAAGAAATAGATCTGATGTTAGTCACTTAAAGTGGTTGTAAAGGCTCAAGGTGTTTTACCAACCCCCCCCCCCCCCCCGATACTTACCTGAGCCTCATTGCAATCCATCAACGTGCACAACAGCCTCTACTGTCCTGGGTCTCTGCCTCCTCATTGACTGAGACAGCAAGCAAGAGCCATTGGCTTCCGCTGCAGTCAGTTACAGACAGTCAGCCAATGAGGAGAGAGAGGAGGTGGTGCCTAGCCGCAGCTCCGTGTGTGAATGGACACATGGAGTAGCAACTTGGGAACAGCCTGCTTGGGTGTCCCCAATAGCAGGCTGCTTGCTATGGGGGCACCCAACAGGAGGAGCCAGGAGCGCCGACTGGACCCAAGAGGAGGAGAATCCGGGCTGCTTTGTGCAAAACCAGTGGACACGAGGTAAGTATAACATGTTTGTTATTGTCCAAATATAAAAAAATGAGCCTTTGGTATGGCTTTAAGCTCTCATACTATTACTGGAATTGGAATACGCGGCGCACTTCGGGATTGTTCAGTGTGTGATGGGGCACCATCTGGATCTTCGGCTGTCCGCTGGCAGCGAGATCATCGTACATATGTCAGTATTTAGGTCCTTTCCGCCCCTCTAGTTGCTTCAGAAGCCATGCTGGATGCTTTTCACTCTCCGGGAAAGCTGAAGAGCCTGTGATTTATGGGGGAGCCGAGATCACACCACCCAGCATAGCCAATGAGGACAGGAGATGGCAGGCTACAAGGCAGTAAAACGGATGTAATGTGCCGCCTGAAATAGAAATGACGGCATGGTATTAAAAAGGACACCTTGATTCACACTGGAATTTTTTTCATGTAATTAGAAAAACAGTGATGTCTGTGCCGAAAATGAATCCTGGAGGTGCACAGAGGGAGCCTAGAGCCTCAGTGCTTCAGTCGTCCGGCCAGGTATTGCTGTACTGCACCCATCCACACCACTCTCTGTAGATGGTAAACTAGGAACCCCTTTGTAATGTAGCAGAGGTGTTCCCAAACACACCCACCACACATACAGAAATATATTGTGTGGGTCTCAGTGCTAATCCACATGGAAGGAAAAAATATTTGAAATATATTTTAAAAATATTCTTCCTAAATATATTGCCGTATAGTTGATATACTACAATTTTGGCCGTATTCAATATATTTCAAAATATATTTCTTATATATTTATATATATATACAGTGGGGATCGAAAGTTTGGGCACCCCAGCTAAAAATGTGTATTAATGTGCATAAAGAAGCCAAGGAAAGATGGAAAAATCTCCAAAAGGCATCAAATTACAGATTAGACATTCTTATAATATGTCAACAAAAGTTAGATTTTATTTCCATCATTTATACTTTCAAAATTACAGAAAACAAAAAAATGGCGTCTGCAAAAGTTTGGGCACCCTGCAGAGTTAATATCTTGTACTGCCCCCTTTGGCAAGTATCACAGCTTGTAAACGCTTTTTGGAGCCAGCCAAGAGTCTTTCAATTCTTGTTTGAGGTATCTTTGCCGATTCTTCCTTACAAAAGTCTTCCAGTTCTCTGAGATTTCTGGGCTGTCTGTCACGCACTGCTCTTTTAAGGTCTATCCATAGATTTTCAATTATGTTGAGGTCAGGAGATTGTGAAGGCCATGGCAAAACCTGCAGTTTACACCTCTTGATGTAATCCCCCGTGGATTTCGAGGTGTGTTTAGGATCATTATCCATTTGTAGAAGCCATCCTCTCTTTAACTTCAGCTTTTTCACAGATGGCATCAAGTTACCATCCAAAATTTGCTGAAATTTTATTGAATCCATTTTTCCTTCTACTCGTGAGATGTTCCCTGTGCCACTGGCTGCAACACAACCCCAAAGCATGATTGATCCAACCCCATGATTAACAGCTGGACAGAGGTTCTTTTCATTAAATTCTGTGCCCCTTCTTCTCCAAACGTACCTTTGCTCATTCCGGCCAAAAAGTTAAATTTTAACCTCATCGGTCCACAGAACTTGTTTCCAAAATGCATCAGGCTTGTCTATATGTTCATTTGCAAAGTTCAAACAATGATTTTTGTGGTGAGGACGTTTTCTTCTGATGACTCTTCCATGAAGACCATATTTGTACAAGTATCTCTTTATAGTGGAATAGTGTACCACAACTCCAGTGTCTGCCAGATCTTTCTGGAGGGATCGTGCAGTCAAACGTGGGTTTTGAATTGTTTTTCTCACAATCCTGCGAGCTGTTCTGTCTGATATTTTTCTTGGTCTTCCAGATCTTGCTTTAACTTCCACTGTTCCTGATGACTGCCATTTCTTAATTACATTCCGAACAGAGGATATTGACATCTGAAAACGCTTTGCTATCTTCTTATAGCCTTCTCCAGCTTTGTGAGCGTCAACTATTTTCAGTTTCAGTTTTCTAGACAACTGCTTAGAAGAACCCATGGTGCTGATTGTTGGGGCAAGGTTAGATGAGTCTGGGCATTTAAAACCTTTGAGATTGACATCATCTGGTCTTCCCAGGTGATGATTGAGAACAATCCATGACACTGGCAGGTCTCAGCTTTGCAAAGGGGGCAGTGCATGCTATAAATTCTGCAGGGTGCCCAAACTTTTGCAGACGCCATTTTTTCGTTTTCTGTTATTTTGAAAGTGTAAATGATGGAAATAAAATCTAACTTTTGTTGACATATTCTAAGAATGTCTAATCTGTAATTTGATGCCTTTTGGAGATTTTTCCATCTTTCCTTGGCTTCTTTATGCACATTAATACAAATTTTTAGCTGGGGTGCCCAAACTTTCGATCCCCACTGTATACATACTGCATGTTGAAAGACATTTTTATTAGAAAAAATATGACAAATATTTTTAAAAATACATTGCAAACATACTGTATGTCTTTAAAAATACAAATCTACATTTTTGAAATGCATTTATCAATATATGTAAAAAATTATGTTAAAATTACTTTTTTATGTTTTAAAATAAAGATAGTGAATGCGGGGTCCGGGGAGAGCGGATATAGTGAATGCAGGGTCCTGGGGAGAGCGGATAGAGTGAATGCAGGGTCCGGGGAGAGCGGATATAGTGAATGCAGGGTCCGGGGAGAGCGGATATAGTGAATGCAGGGTCCCAGGAGAGCAGGATATAGTGAATGCAGGGTCCGGGGAGACCGGGGGGGATATAGTGAATGCAGGGTCCGGGGAGACCGGGTATAGTGAGTGCAGGGTCCGGGGAGACCGGATATAGTGAATGCAGGGTCCGGGGAGACCGGATATAGTGAATGCAGGATCCGGGGAGACCGGATATAGTGAATGCAGGGTCCGGGGAGACCGGATATAGTGAATGCAGGGTCCGGGGAGACCGGATATAGTGAATGCAGGGTCCCGGGAGAGCGGATATAGTGAATGCAGGGTCCCGGGAGAGCGGATATAGTGAATGCAGGGTCCGGGAGAGAGCGGATATAGTGAATGCAGGGTCCCGGGAGAGCGGATATAGTGAATGCAGGGTCCGGGAGAGCGGATATAGTGAATGCAGGGTCCGGGGAGAGCGGATATAGTGAATGCAGGGTCCGGGAGAGCGGATATAGTGAATGCAGGGTCCGGGGAGACTGGATATAGTGAATGCGGGGTCCGGGGAGACTGGATATAGTGAATGCGGGGTCGGGGGGAGAGCGGATATAGTGAATGCGGGGTCCGGGAGACCGGATATAGTGAATGCGGGGTCCGGGGAGACCGGATATAGTGAATGCGGGGTCCGGGGAGACCGATATAGAGTGAATGCGGGGTCCGGGGAGAGCGGATATAGTGAATGCAGGGTCCCGGGAGAGTGGATATAGTGAATGCAGGGGTCCCGGGAGAGCGGATATAGTGAATGCGGGGTCCCGGGGAGAGCGGATATAGTGAATGCAGGGTCCGGGAGAGCGGATATAGTGAATGCGGGGTCCCGGGAGAGCGGATATAGTGAATGCAGGGGTCCCGGGAGAGCGGATATAGTGAATGCAGGGTCCCGGGAGAGCGGGTATAGTGAATGCGGGGTCCCGGGAGAGCGGATATAGTGAATGCGGGGTCCTGGGAGAGCGGGTATAGTGAATGCGGGGTCCCGGGAGAGCGGATATAGTGAATGCGGGGTCCCGGGAGAGCGGATAGAGTGAATGCGGGGTCCAGGGAGAGCGGATAGAGTGAATGCGGGGTCCGGGGGAGAGCGGATATAGTGAATGCGGGGTCCGGGGAGAGCGGATAGAGTGAATGCAGGGTCCGGGGAGAGCGGATAGAGTGAATGCAGGGTCCGTGGAGACCGGAGAGAGTGAATGCAGGGTCCGGGGAGAGCGGATAGAGTGAATGCAGGGTCCGGGGAGAGCGGAGAGAGTGAATGCAGGGTCCGGGGAGAGCGGATAGAGTGAATGCAGGGTCCGGGGAGAGCGGAGAGCGAGAGTGAATGCAGGGTCCGTGGAGACCGGAGCAGGGTCCGTGGAGAGAGAGTGAATGCAGGGTCTGGGGTTTAGTAACGCTTTAAAAATCCTGCTTGTTCGCAGTTCTTTTTTTTTTTTTCTCTCTAAAGTTCCACTTTAAAAACACGGTAGATGTAGAGATGAAGCCTTTAAGACATGCCTTGAATGTGGACTTTGTCCTTTCTGGAATAAGCCCCCCTCCCCCCACACACACGGAAAAGTGTGGCAGTGACTCTTGGATTCAAGGTGAGTGGTAATATATTAACCTGGCAGGGAGCTTATCACTGCACATCAACTTCTAGGTACATGAGAAGGAGATTGCCTTGTTATGTTGTCCATACATGTAGCAATTGTGTAAGAAGATACAACTTATCATGGAGTTGGGCATTCGATTATCCACCAAACGTCGATCAATTATGTGGATTGAAATGGATAATCACACTAAAATAATGATTGTGTTTAAATAGTACTTTGTTAGGTAGGGTTCACTTGAAAGCCAGCATCGCATCGGCACATACCATCCCTTCACTGCCCCGTACCTCCATTCACCATCCAGGAGGGAGAAGAGAGAATGATGATGATGTGATGGAGCTGGCGTCTGAGCAGCCAATCGCAGACCACCAGCACAGTCCCATGAGAGGGAGTGAAGTGAGCCGCAGGACCCTTCATACTTCACTCCGTCTGTCGCTTTGCTTCCAGCAGCAAAGGGAAGGTGTGTACTGTGTGTTCGGCAAATGGATCACTAAAGTGAACCTGCGTAGCCGGAGACACCCAGACGTGATATTTGCGTCCGTACTGGTGAGGTTCGTTATCCATTGGCTGCTGTTATTTCTGACCGATCTTGGCAGCGAGGTTTTCCCATCAAGTTATCTAACCGTACATCTCTTACCATAGAATTTCCTTGTAGGGCTCCATGTGCACAAGCCTACCCTGACCGCCAGCCGCGGGAAAACATAAAACAGGGCAACTACGGTACTGCGATTTTGCTGCGGTTTCACGTTTTTCCACGGCCGGCGGTCAAAACGTTCCTATCCTGAATGCGATTCTTTTGTGTTCAGGATAGGGAGGTTTAACCTCACCTAACCGCGGCAGCTCCTAAACTCTGCTAAAAGCCTACGTGTACTTGGACACACAGGCTTCTGTGGAGTTGAGTTTAGGAGCTTCAGCAAAAAAATGCCAAAAGCTCCTAAACTCGAGTTTTGCAACTGCTCGTGTACATTGCAGCTGATAAACTGACGTTCAGGAGCTGTTCAGCGGTTTTTTTTTTTTAAAGCAGCCCCTGAACTCCCCCTAATGGTTTCCTATGTGTCCATGTACACATCGTCGTTTACAGTCGTTTGCAGTCATTTGAGTTTACAGTCATTTTTCTGAGCGCAGAAAACGTGCACTCAGCAGTTGATTTTATCAGCGTTCCAAGCGCAAAACACTTGTAAACGCGACTAAAAGCAAAAAATCGCGTTTAAGCATTTGAAATTTATTTTTAACTCTTCCAGTTCCCGGTACTGTCCAGAGCCTGTTTTCATCATGAAAAATGCATGCAAAGCGTTTTCAGGGTGCTCAGATGGAGAAAACACTGAACACAGGATGTTTCTACCAAGCTTGTCACACACAGGAATGACCAATTCACACCTCAGACCTCTCCCACCCTTGGAAACAAAAGATATGTTAATGACCATTCACACCTCAGACCTCTCTTACCCATGGAAACAAAAGATATGTTAATGACCATTCACACCTCAGACCTCTCCCACCCTTGGAAACAAAAGATATGTTAATGACCATTCACACCTCAGATTCCCCATGAAGACCCCCTGCCAGGTGACCTTATTGACTCCCTCCACCAGATTCCTTTCCCACCCTTGGAAACAAAAGAAATGTTAATCAGCAACTCATGCCTAAGCTAATCTCAACACATACTGCTGTCTCTGCTTCTACTCTCTGTATTTTTCTGAAACAGTCTGAAATAGTTAATAATTTACCACTTTTCAGTGCATTCTGGGCATTTTGGAGTTTCTCCCGTGCTTATCTTTAAAAAACGCTTCTAAACGCATTATACAAACGCGGCCAAACAGACATTTTTTAACCTACATTTTCCAGCAGTCAGGTTCCATTGTTCAGAAGTGTCCAGTGTACATGGGGCCTTACTGTTGTCTTTTTTTTTAGCATAGGTTCCCAGCTCCACCCCCCCCCCCCCCCATTATGGCACTGAATAAGGGAGGTGGGAGGAGCTGGGTTCTCAGGTGCACAGATTTCACCATCTCATTCTGCTGGAGATGTGGGAACTATTGGTTTTAGCTGGACTTCTCCTTTCAGTTTCCTCTGAGCCTTTTTCAACAAGGACAAAAAAATAAAGTGTGTCTTCTGCCCGCTGGCAATCTCTTACAATCTTGTAACAAGCCGTCCCCGAGCATCAGATTCACCATCGTGTCAGCTTTCCCGTGGAGTCACTTACAAGACTCCGATGCTGCCAAGACGTTTGCAGCCTGTTCCCTGGCAGTGATAAGATGTATGTGTGTTTAGACGCTTGCTGGCCCATGGCCCAAACCTTCCGTTCTCCTCTGCAGATTTTCCAAACTTTGTAAAGAAGGACATGTTGTGGATCCTCACTGTGTAGTATTTAAGGAACATCCCTGAACACATCCCTCTCTACTATATCACAGTATAATAATATAATATAGAATAGAGTAAAATTCTATGTGACATTCCCAATTTTTACAGCTTTGCTGTCCCATTTAATCATATGAGATACCCACAGTTCACTGGGTAGCCATAGATAGATAGCTAGATAGAGAGATAGATGGATATAGAGAGATGGATGGATATAGAGAGATGGATGGATATGGAGAGATGGATGGATAGGGATGGAGAGATGGATAGGGATGGAGGGATGGGAGAGATGGAAAGGGATGGAGAGATGGAAAGGGATGGAGAGATGGATATGGAGAGAGAGATGGATATGGAGAGAGAGATGGATATGGAGAGAGAGATGGATGGATGGAGAGATATGGATATGTAGAGAGAGAGAGATGGATGAAGAGATGTATAGATAGATATGGAGAGATAGATATGGAGAGATGGACAGATAGATAGATGGATGGAGAGATGGATATGGAGAGAGAGAATTATTTCCTTTAATTTGGCCATGAGTCACAATTTTTTATGTATAGCAAGGCTTTAGACCAGTGTTTCTCAGCCTTTTTTTTTTTTTTTTTTTTTTTTACAGTCAAGGCACCCTTTAAAATAATGGACAGTCTTGAGGCACCCCAGTCTAAAATGTCAAGAACTAATCTAATAGTTTTCTATAACGCAGCAACATCCACACATGTAGGACACCCAACATTAGAGGTGATTTATTCTTCCAAAGCAAATACACTTTTGCACTCTGGTACTGACTAGTATTCCATTGTTTCTCTTCTCCATCAGTTTTTCTCCATCACTGAGCTAATGTGACCCCAGCACTGATGGAGAGGGGTGGGGGAGGGTCAAACTAGGATGCTGTGCAGGCAGCTGACATCCTCCTTATCAACTGATGATGTCATTGGTTGTCAGGATGTCGGCGACTAGAAGGCGGTAATGGTGCACAATGAAAACCTGTGACTTTGTGTAACTAAAAGGCGGGCTTGTTCCACCCGCTGGCTTATATACAGCGTTTGGGTGCTTTTTAGACATTTTGCCAAGGCACCCCTGAAGAGACCTCAAGGCACCCCTGAAGAGACCTCAAGGCACCCCTGAAGAGACCTCAAGGCACCCCTGAAGAGACCTCAAGGCACCCCTGAAGAAACCTCAAAGCACCCCTGAAGAAACCTCAAAGCACCCTGGTTAAGAAAGGCTGCTTTAGATAATGTGGATCTGTCATTCTAGTGAACCTTCTATGGGTGTTAACCCTTTATTGATCTATCTGAAACTAATTTTAAAAAAAATGGCGTTAGATCTACACTGATCAGCCATAACATTTATGACCACTGGCAGGTAACGTGAATAACATTGATTATATCATGAACATGTTGTCCCTGAAGTTGTGTTGAAAGCAGACAAAATGGGCAAGCGTAAGGATTTGAGCAGCTTTGACAAGGGCTAAATTGTAGTGGCTAGATGACTGGGCAGGGATGTTTTCTGCAAGCCATGTACAGCACCCTACTGGCCCCTCCTACCTGCCATGATCTGCTTGTTTTGCATAGACAAGCATAGAGTCGCAGTGATTTCATCCATGTGTCTAAAATAAGGGGTGTAGAGAAATTGGAAATGTTTTATTTAAAAATGTAATGAGTATGTTGAGGAAGAGGGAAAGCAAATCTAAGCAGCTCATACTGCGTCTATGACCTCTGTGTGTGAGGATGGAGAGGAAAGGGTGTTCCATGCTGACTTCCGTTCTGAGAACTGAGCTTCTAACCGCTATTTAAGCTGCTTCATCATTACAACTGGAAACTCTGACCCTAGTAACTGTCATACAACACACATGGTCCCCGTGCGAGCAGACAGCCGCCAGTCACATGATCAGAATGTGGAGTCCAGGAGGGGGGGGGCGTCACCACCCCAGATATCTGTTTAATGTCAACACTTGCCTCCGGCCTAGAAAATAACCCAACTGCCAGCAATGACATGAAATGTATTGAGAACGTGCCTGCACTGTGTACATCTGTCACCAGTCCCTTCTGTGTAAACAGACACTGATTGGCCACTTGCTGTCCCATAATCCTCTGCTTGCGCAGGGGTCCTTTGCTTTCACTTTTTTACATGGTGGCTCTAGGACCTATTTGGACCGCATGCAGGTTCCGTCTGTTT